CGCCAGACTTTTGAGCGTTCTGCACTACAGCCGCTTTCTGAGCACCCGTCTTTTGTGGCACGGGGGCCTTTCGCGCTTGCTTGCCTCCCTTCGCAGCATGCTTGTGAACGGGTTGTTTGGGGGCTACACACGAACTATCAGTTCTAGGTGAAACCAATGGACTATCGTCGGACTTTTGTCGCGAGGTTTCCAGTCCTTGCCAGCATCGTCGAGGAGGATGTTGAGGATTTGCGTCTGTTCGAGCTGTTGAACTGGGGTCAGCGAGGCTCGTTTCACGAGTGCTGGAGCACTGGCAGGTTTGGTGGCAACGGAAGGCTGTACAGCCTTTTGGGTCGGGCCTTTGGATGTAGTCTTCTGGACGGGAGTAGTCTTGTGGCCCTGCTTCCCTCCTTGTTGCTTCGCAGCATTCACTGGTTGTTTGCGGGCTACAACAAGACCCAATTAGAATTTCCACATTTCACGTGCGTCGTACTTTTGTCGCGGGGTTTCCAGTCCTTGCCAGCATCGTCAAGTAGGATGTTGAGGATTTGTTGCTGCTCCACTTGCTGCGAGGATGTCAACGACGCTCGCTTGGCTAGAGGCGCCTTGGCGGAATGCTGAGGGGCCGTGGCAGGCGCCGCCTTGGAGGCTTGGCTTTCCTTGGGAGATCCTTGCACGGGTTGTTGTTTATGTGTGGCTTTCGCAGGTTCATTTTTCTGTTGTTTTTGTTGCTGGACGGGAGCTTGCTGCACGGCTGCCTTGGCTGGCGAGGGGGTTGCCTTTGCAGGCTGACTCTTCGGCTGAGTTGGCTTTTGCTGTTGGGCTGGTTGTTGGGCAGCCTTTTGGGTTTGCTTGGCGGAGGGCTTGGCAGGCATGGTTGAAGAGCGAAATTCAGAAATGAGGCTTTTGCTGAAGAAGTCGGCTTCCGTATTTCTGGATCATCGCCGACTGTATTTTTAGACTTCGGGTGCTGCCTGACAACATCGACGATGCAAGTCTTATCGGCCCTGTGACCCAATGAAAGTAATTCCAACTCGGTTGACATAATTTAACTGTAAATTCGTAACTTTAAGTGATTAAGAACTTTAAGTCAAGTACTAGTAGTGCTTGCTACAGTGAGTTAACATACAGGACGTAGGACTGAGTACTACGGTGTCGAATGGGGCCGTGTCGAACAATTCGACCTATAATTATGTCAACCGAGTTGGAATTACTTTCATTGGGTCACAGGGCCGATAAGACTTGCATCGTCGATGTTGTCAGGCAGCACCCGAAGTCTAAAAATACAGTCGGCGATGATCCAGAAATACGGAAGCCGACTTCTTCAGCAAAAGCCTCATTTCTGAATTTCGCTCTTCAACCATGCCTGCCAAGCCCTCCGCCAAGCAAACCCAAAAGGCTGCCCAACAACCAGCCCAACAGCAAAAGCCAACTCAGCCGAAGAGTCAGCCTGCAAAGGCAACCCCCTCGCCAGCCAAGGCAGCCGTGCAGCAAGCTCCCGTCCAGCAACAAAAACAACAGAAAAATGAACCTGCGAAAGCCACACACAAACAACAACCCGTGCAAGGATCTCCCAAGGAAAGCCAAGCCTCCAAGGCGGCGCCTGCCACGGCCCCTCAGCAATCCGCCAAGGCGCCTCTAGCCAAGCGAGCGTCGTTGACACCCTCGCAGCAAGTGGAGCAGCAACAAATCCTCAACATCCTACTTGACGATGCTGGCAAGGACTGGAAACCCCGCGACAAAAGTACGACGCACCATTTCGATTGAACCCAGGACTGATGCATTGTGTGTAGCCCCCAAACAACCCATTCAGAAACATGCTGCCAAGCAAAAGGGGGGCAAACAGGCGCAGCAAGCCCCCGCCCAACAAAAGGCCCAAAAGCCTGCTGCTCAAAAAGGACCTGATCAGAAAGCGGCTCCAGTGCAGAACGCCCAAAAGTCTGCCGCGGCCCCGGTCGTGGCTGCGAAGTCCGCTCCTGCCCTGGTCAAGCGCGCGTCGTTGACGCCAGTTCAACAAGCCGAGCAACAGCAAATCCTCAACATCTTGATTGATGATGCCGGCAAGGACTGGAAACCCCGCGACAAAAGTATGGCCACCTGCGGCATTTCGTGATTCCTAACCATGTCTCGTAGCTGCGCCCAAGCAGCCGTACAAGAAGCCTGCCAGTCAAAAGGCCAAGACCTCGCAGAAACCCAAGTCGGCCCCTGCCAAAGCCCAGCCGGTTGCCCCCATGGCCGCCGCCGTCCAGGGTGCGAAGCCAGCGCTGCTGACTCGCCGTAGCTCGTTGACGGACGCGCAGAAGAAGGAGAAGCGAGAAATCATGGAAATCCTCTTGGATCCGTACGAGTTCGTCCCCGCTCGTATCACTCGTCGAGGGTCGTCGACCCAAGTCAAGGCCGACTTGCACAGAGTGGGCAACGCGGTCGTGGTCTCGAATCCCCCCGTGGATGCGAATGAAGACTTCAGCGGGTTTGAGACGGTCAAGTCCCGCCGCACGAGCATCAAGGAGAAGAAGGATTTGCGCACGGAACAAGACGCCATTCTGTCCGTGCTCGGAGACTTCAAGGAGCCGTCTAAGAAACACCACAAGGGTAACCAACAGACCCCCCAAAACGCGAGACCCAACCCCCAAACTCCCACCAAAACCCAAACTGCCCAACAGCAAAAGGTGGCGCCCCAAGCGACCAAACAACAACACATCCAGGCGAAAGCCAACCAAGGCCGGGCCAATTTGGCCACTTAGACACACAGGATTTGCTTTATCAATCGATATACTTTTCATCCATATATTGTCCATTTCACGCAAATTTGAACAGTATCAGTCCAAAAGTGAAACCGTTTTTGAATAACTAGGCAATATATCTTGTATTCACTATAGTACAGAGAGTTCAAGCTGGAACGGACGGGTTTTAGAAAACGCATTGATTGGCTGAATCACGGGGTAGAATGGATTTTGATTGGCTAGTTCATTCTCAAATCGATTTGCCAAGTCTATTCGATTCCACTGGCGATTCCAATTACGAACCGACTGGACAATACCGTATAAGGTAACGCGTCGAAATCCCGAAAACTTTTTGCCGCAAATTTGACCTGTCCATTCAAGTTGATGTCCTGGAGAAACCAGACTACTCTGAGAAAATCTGAGGGCACCCAATGAAAATATAATTCACGCTGCATTTTATGTGCCATTTCAAACTCAATTGAACGAGATTTGCGATTTGGACGAAAATTATTATCACTACTTTCGTGCCGAGTTGGAAACGTCAAGAATTCCGAAATCGCGAACACTCATATGTCTTGTCTTGAGTATGATGCTATAAAAATTTGCAAAATAACATCATCAATTTTAATCTGGATGTTTTAATTCAAAATGTCAACGAAAAACATTATATTCAACACAATTTTAATGACAGAACTCAACAACAACATAGTGGACGCAGGATAATATATTATTGTTTGGAATTTAATTACATTGAATTTGATTCCGTCAACATGGAGTGGTGAATATAATCATAGCCTATAGATTTTCATCGGCCACCAAGGGAAGTTATTCATTTGTCAAAATTGACAAAGTTCGCGATTTCGATGCTGTTTGGGATTTCGATGCGTTACGCCCCCCTTCTGCGCCTAGGATTGGACATGCCCGCCTTTTAATGCGTACTACATTCTAGTACAGTACAGTACCCTGGTTTCCAATCAATCAAAATCTATCGTTTCAGGGTTTTCGGTGTTGGTAGGTTGTTGACGTGAACATGGGTTAATCTGTTACTAATTTACAGTTTACTGTACTTTGGTGAATGTAGAAAGATACCGAAAAAAGTATTAAAACGATTGGAGCAGCAGGGTATCGATCCCTGTACCTCCCGCATGCGAAGCGGGCGCTCTACCATGTGAGCTACAACCCCGTATATATAAATGGTGTTATCAGAAACACAAAATAATAAAGACAGAGATCGTAAGACTATACATCTGTACATCAGCATGGCACAGTCGACGACGCCACCTCGAGCGCGGGCTCATCCCAACGTCGGCCTACCACAAACCCTGCATGCCGTAAGTATCAAAGAGGCTATACCGAAAGTTTATGCATGTTTGGCAGACACACCATGTGCCGAGGGATGCCCGAGTGATCGTCGTCGGCGATGTCCATGGCTGCTTCGACGAGCTCAAGCAGTTGATCCACGACGTGGAATACGATGCCTCCAGCGACGTCCTGGTCTTCGTGGGAGATTTGGTGAACAAGGGTCCAAACTCCGTCGATGTCGTCCAGTTTGCGCGACAGAGCGGTGCGTTGTGCGTGCGTGGGAACCACGACGACGCGGCGTTGAGTGCGTGGTACTTGCGCCAACGCGGCACCAAGGACGATGCGAGATACGAGTACACCGACGGGTTGTCCGCGGCCGACATTGCGTTTCTGGAGCAGCTTCCCTTCACGATCGACCTGCCCGAGATCAACACAATGGTCGTGCATGCTGGCGTCGTCCCTGGGGTTCCCTTGGAGGAACAGAGCCTCGGGATGCTGTACAGGATGCGCTTCGTCAAGTCTTCCACGGCATTCGAAGGCCAGCAAGCGGGCGCGTCGTTGTGGGCGTCCACGTACCACGGACCAAAGCTCATTGTGTTTGGCCACGATGCCAAGGCTGGCCTCCAGGTATGTCATGTGTTCTGACCAAAGTTGAAGCCGTCGGTACTGTAGGACACTCCGTTTGCACTTGGGTTGGACACGGGGTGCTGCTACGGAAAGCGACTCACGGCCGTGATCTTGCCTGTATGTACATACATGCAACCAACATCAAGCCATCCATCTCATCATCTCATCATGGCTGCTGGTTCTACTGTAGGAGCGGCGGTTGGTGTCGGTCCCTGCCTTCAAGACCTACACTTCTACCCCTACCCCTACTCAATCGTGGGGCGGGTGGTTCTGGTCCATCTTCGTGGCGCCGGCTTACCATTTGTTTGGCGGTCGCAATGATTAATCATAGTACTAACACTTGAAAACTAGTTACATGATTACACTAAGGACACTACATCGAGGGAGGGTTGCTATCGTACACGCCGACGGCGGGACTTAGGGCTGTTCGCGACCATGCTTGATGCAGAACCCGTTCTTCTGCACCCACTTCTCGCATCCGTCCGCTTTGCACCGCACGCCGCCGCCGTGACCGCGGCAAAACCCGCGGCTCTGACTGCTCTTGGGACAACTCGGGTACTTACACCTGGCACCGCCGCCGTGGGCTTTGCACAGACCTCGACTTTGAGACGTCTTGTCGCAGTTGTCGAAGGAACACGGGGTGCCGCCGCCGTGCGCAATGCACTTCTTGTTCGCTTGCGCACTTTTGCTGCATCCTGGTTCGGTACACCGCTTGCCGCCGCCATGCGACCGACAGAGTCCCTTGGAACGTGCGACGTTTTTGCACGACTTGGTGCGGCACACGCGGGTGGAGCCCCTGTTCAACGGATCGCTTTCTTCGTCGGGTTGGTCTTCGTCATCTGACGAGGACGAGTTGTTGTGCAAACTCATGTGCTGCAACGCAGTGGGCGAAGGACTCCAGCTGGACGCGGCAGTACTAGAGCTGGATGAATACCGAGGCATGAGATGAGGAGCGGCACCGTTGCTATTCCAGCTGTGCGAGAGCGAGAACTCAGACTGGTACTGCGACGATGGAGGTTGGCGTTGATGGAGGAAGTGGTTGTGGCTTGGGGTCCAGCTATGGGGGAGCGGGATCTCATTTTTGATTTGAAACTCCAGGTGGTTGTTAAAGCGAGTGACTTCGGGTTCAGATGGATGGAGTTGGTCGTCTAAGGCACGACGGCTTTGTGGCATGTACTCCCCAAGACTCATGGAACGCAGCTTTGGCAGAGCCAGAGGGACAGGTTCAGTCGATGCAGAGTAGCTGTGATGCTGTTGTTGGTTGGACAGCGATGGGAGTGACATCCCTGAGGTACCGTATGACGGAATGGGAATGGGCTGGGAGTGGGCGGGGTTGTTCTCCATGGGATGGTACACGCTCTTGGTGGAGTCGATGCTCGCAAGCGACGGCAGGGATCGCTTCGACACGGGCTGCTCCCACATGCTCATGGATCGACGGGATACATGATGATACGAGAACGAGTCCATCGGCGTCGTAGTTCTGCGCGTGAGGAGGCGAAATACTCAATGGCGGATTTCTCGCGAATAATATGTGACTGGGACGTCACTTTTTTTAATTATGTACTGCTTTGTATGCCTACAAAAAAAACGATAACCAAGATCTGTGATCTGATTACCCTATGACAAAAGAGGGTGCGCTGACTGGCTCAGTGAAATACCTTGCTTTTACTATGCATGGCAGTAGATGTGGCATGCGACATGGTTTTTGTCCGCCTGGCGCTTCTCGGCGCTTGTCACTTGACTCCCATCCAGCTACGGGTATACTTGCCATCGGTGGACAATGGATTCTAATTCTATTGAAGATAAATAAGGGTTGATATCTAGGCCCAGCAACAGTTCATAGTCTTGTCTTGCGGTTTGTATTCCAAGCTCTACAAAGGCTTCAAAATTTGCTGCAACGTTGAAGTTGGTGAGCAGATGGCGAGGATGACACGACCAAAGGAGATACGTTATGACGTTATGGGACTTGAAAAGGGTATACAAATCTTGACGACGACCAAAATGGGTGCGAGTGGCTACTCGCCCAGCTGACAAAACGTAAAAGTTTTCGTGTTGGCTTCATCATAATGAGCGCCATACAATTTCGTATATGAACCCCCTCAGCGTCGTAAGCTCGGCTTAAGTCCGATACTCTGATAGATCCATCGAAGCTACAGCAAGTTTAGGGATCAACGACCCACGTAGTACTGTACTATTAGTAGAATTTGTACTTATTTGGAGATATCCTACTGCAAATCACAAAACTGCACTGTGCCCCGTATGTCGTCGCGTACCGACACTCCTCTTAAGTTCGGCTTATATATGACGGCTTATCTGAACACCTGTTGTAAACGGATGGCTGGGATTGTCACCTGGTCTGTAATAAGGCCTAGCACCTAAATAGGTCTTTTTAATTCGGTCGTTCTGCCTATTTCATGTCACATTTGCAATGTTAATCATGTCGTGAAGGCAGGTGTATAAACCCCAATCGCAGCGACAGGAGGAATATCTAATGTTATGGTAACCGTTCGTACAGGTAGTACAATGGATGGAGTTTGATGTCCAGTCTCCGAGAACTCGTTGCCAGTTCTGGGGTTCGGGGTGGTGAGCGTTTCTATGACACTTGGCGTGCGTATCTTGAACTGATTTATTTTTGTTTGAATGTAGAGTAGTAGTACTAGTATGTACTAGTATTGAATGTAATACTATTAATACTAGTATGTCGCTAAAATTCGTACATGCAGACAACGATTGATTATTTTTTACAGTGTCAAGCCACACCGAAGTTTATGTGTACATCCTTGTATTGTGGCCAATCACACTCAGCTATCACATACATCAGTTGGTTTGATTTGTCTTCGAAAACGAAGTTCAAAGTGTGGCTTAAAATCCTTCGTTGTACTATTAATAGTACTGACTGCCAAGCACATTTCGGAGAAATTTCGCCAATACACTTTGAACTTACCGGTATACTACTTATAGTAATGTACTATTAATAGTACTATTACAGTTAATACTTCGAAGTACTACAGTACTGTGGCTACTACGTAGTACTACTAGTATTTCGTATGGTGCACTCTACCGATGGGCCCCCTACACTTTTCACATTTGGTCGCCGCAGTTTAACAGTATAAAAAGGCATGGAATTGACAGGACGGGATAAGAGGAAGAGATTATGTGCCTCAGATCTAGAATTGATAAAGAAATGACAATGAAAGAGTCTTTCAACCGACAGCTACTTTTTGTAGGTAATACTGCACTCCAGAGTAGTACCCAAAGTACAGTAGGTGTCGGTTACGTACTAGTACAGTAAACGTCTGGGCCAACACATATGGATAATTTGGCGAATACGACAATTCTATCCGACATTAGTCGTATTAGTTAAAAGTTAAATACTTCGTGGTTTTCATTGGTAGATGACTCTACATTTTCAATACAAAGACCAAATGTCGGTTTAATTGGAGTGGGGTGCTCAATCGAATGAGCAGCACCAAATCGGCAGACAATCGATTGATTAATCAAAACCCACGACACAATTCAAGTGGTTAATCAAATACTCCCATCGACAAATTCAACATCGAAATAGTGTGAGACTGAAATTAGTGTGACTCTGGACGATTTTTACATACAAATGTCAGTACAACGAATCGATCGATAGATTTGGTGAAACAGCAAAAGAGTCCAAATTTTGGGTAAAAGGACAATATTAATATTACCAGTATTTGTTAATCTGATTAACAGTTCAAATTCAAGTTTACTGTTAACGTTAACACAATCTCCAACGCATCACCAAATATTGATGTCCCTATCCCTATAATAGAGCCAGTTCATAGTTTTTGGGATGTCCATAAAAAATGGCCGGTTTGGTCAAATATATGGATGGAATGCCTTTCAGCCAAAATTAAAACTTTTTGTGCTGATTTGTCAAATCCACGATCGATATTTTGAACTTCCAGGCCAGCTACCGGTAGGCCTACTTCCTGAGTGCCATATCTCGTCACCCATCCGATGGGGCTGCGAAAACATGCATTTTGAAGGTCGTGATGAGCATTATAACTTTATGCAGGTCCCATCATTTATCGCATGGTCAATTTGCTCGTCGAATTTCTAAAATTGATATTTTCCTATGTGAATTTAATTCTCGGTCAGTAAGTCACTTGAATAATGTATGCTTGATTTGGGTGACCAATCCTCATAACCTCTTAATAATGATATTTATAAAGTGATAAAGTAATTAAATTTAGAAGTGCAACTAATATACTAATATAAAAACTGTATCACATGTCTGACATGCTCAATATTAAATGTTACAAGTATTTTATACAAGAGTACGTAATTTTGTCTAATCATAGTCCATGGATGATTATGATTGGCCATTTGCTGGCCTGGAATTACATGAATCATCTTACTGAATTTTGTAGCTTACAGTATGTAAAAAATACACTAGCCAGCTTGATGCCCATCACACTAATTTCAGTCAACCCTATTCTAATTGTTTTTGGATAAAGTGATTGATTTCCTGTTATCTGATTGGCTATGGTGCATTTCAACTAAAGACTACAAAAAAATGCCTTGTCTTTCGACAGCTATTCCAACGTTGTATTGATATTTTTTAGGAAATTAAGCCGTAATAACGATAGAACTGGTCAAGACCAACAGAAGCTACGGTTCAAAATTTCGATTGGTGAAAAATTGATCGAGTAATAGAATTTAAACCAACCAGCCTTTTTGTATGGAAATATATGGAGCCAGGCACATTTTGGCCGAAAAGGAGCATCAAGTATATCTTGGTCTTTGAATACAGCACTTATCCGTATGAACGTTTGCATTGTATCCGGATTATTCAGGATGTTTAACCTATTTACCAGATAAAAAACGTAAGTAAAAATAATTTAACGTCAACATTACGTGGGTTTAACTGAAATAACCGAGGCGTTTAATAGTAAAACGTCTCCTCCTGAGGATGGCCGATCTGTAGTCTTTAGATGAAATGCACCATATATTCCATTTGGTTGTCGAGAAATCGCTTGTGCAAATCTACATATTAATCTCACATCTACATAATGACACACTTGCAACCGCTTTGAGCTTCCGCAGCACGGTCCAATGCAGGGGAGGCGACTGGTTTCTTTTCATCCACCACAGGGGCTTCCGCCACAACAGCAGCGACTTCAGGCTTGGGTTCAGCTTGAACTTCGTCAGAAACTACCTCAGCAACGCTCGCCTTGGCCACCACAGACGCTACTGCTTCAGTGGTCACGGACGTAACCAATTGCTCGGCAGCCTCCTTCACTTCCACTGGCGTTTCCACCACAGCAGGAGCAGAAACAGTCGGGGCAGCAACTTCTACAGCAGGCTCAACGACAGGGGCGGCGACTTCCACTGTAGCTACAGCTTCAACCACAACGGGAGCAGCAACTTCCACAATAGGGGCCCCAACTTCGGCAACGGGAGCAGCAACTTCGACGATGGGAGCAGAAACTTCGACTACAGGACTCGCAACTTCGGCAACGGGAGCAGCAACTTCGACGACGGGGGAAGCAACTTCGGCAACGGGAGCAGAAACTTCAACACTGGGAGCAGAAACTTCGGCAACGGGAGCAGCAACTTCGACGACGGGAGCAGAAACTTCGACGACGGGAGCAGAAACTTCGACGACGGGAGCAGAAACTTCGACGACGGGAGCAGAAACTTCGACGACGGGGGCAGAAACTTCGACGACGGGGGCAGCAACTTCGACGACGGGAGCAGAAACTTCGACGACGGGAGCAGAAACTTCGACGACGGGGGAAGCAACTTCAACACTGGGAGCATCAACTTTGGAAACGGGGGCAGCAGGGTTTGTTTCTTGGGTTTCAGGGGACTCTTCAACCTCCTTCTTTTGAGTCACGACGGGGGAGTTGCTGTCGCTGTGGGTGTGGTCGTCGTCGGACGACTGGTTGTCCGAGAGCGGAGTGTCGTTGTGGGGTTGGCCCAAGTTGAGCTTCTTGAGCAGCTTGGCAACTGCAACAAGCACACAATTGTCATCAGGTGTTGACAACCAAAACCCACCATCCACTTACTTCGCTTTTCACCCACGATCCAGTCGGCATGGGACACCTTGACCGCCGCCAGGATGCGCTTGGAGCCGAAGGTCGGGTTCTGCTCCGTCACGCTCTTGATCACATTCGTCAGGTCATGTTCAGTGGGGGTCGTGGTCGCCATATCGGAACAACTGAATTTCGAAAATGGAGACTTCGGCCCTGACTACCGGTATGTACTGTAGTACAGTTGACTGGGATCCGAATTTCAAAATCGGACCTATACGATAGGAATATCTTGTGTTTTGTATGCAAGTAGTTGATTGAGATTCGAAAACGCCTAAATCAGGCACCGTAGCCTGTCAATTTTGTTGAACCTGCAAACGATTGGCCCACAAAACCATTCCTAACGACGATTACTATCATGTTACACCTACATACTGTCTCATGCAATCGCGTCATAATGGCCGCAATTTAGGCCCAATGCTCATGTATCTGTACCTCCAGGGGGAGTACCTCTACAGTCGCGTCGCGCATAGCTTTCCAAAGAGCGCAATACCTTCACACTATGTGTAGCACTACTTTCCCCGTGCAAATTCAACCGGTGTCACCTTGTATGTAATGCATGGCATCCAGATTTCTCCTGTATTGGCACGATGGCCGCTCCATACTAACATCAAGTGTGTTCAGAATGCAACTCAAGTCTTGTAAGAGACCGAGCAATGGCAGCAACGCTCTCAGCAACTACCAGTACAAAACACTGGGATACTAGCAACGACTAAAGTCTACCACTTGCCGCCTTGAACCTGCTCCTTTGAACTTTATCAGTATAAGGATCTAACCGGCATTTCCGGATACATTATTCTCACGAGTGGTCAGATTCGGCAGTTGACCTCATGCTTAGCCAGACCAAAGTCCTCGTTGCCAGCACGGCGGTGCTGTACGCCAAGTTCCTCGTGACCACAACCATCCAAGGCTCCAAGCGCTTTGTGACTGGCACGCGTTGTCCTGAAGACCAACTGCTCAAGGGCGTCCCTGCAACAAAAACCGCGTTTGGATTCAACGCTGGCGGTGCAAGCTCTGCGGCCGCTACTGAAGCCGACCTGCGCTGGCAACGCATTGTTCAAAACGATTTGGAGAACATTCCCCTCGGACTACTCGTCGCTTGGTCTGCAGTGCACTCAGGAGGAAGTGAACTTGTGAACATCGCCGCGATCGGAACGTTCACTGCCGCCCGAGTGTACCACACGTACGCATTCGCGAAGGGACTGCAGCCCCATCGTAGCCGGGCATGGGTCCTGGGGACAGCCGGTGTCCTTGCCCTGGCCCTCAACAGTCTCTATGGGATCGTAGCCATTCCTGAAGCAGACGTCGTCGTTCTGGTCAAGGCACCACCGTCGCATGAAGTCGATCGAAGTTGTGTGACAAAAACCTAAGATCCTTCGGCGAAGTTTTACTTTAATTGACAATTAGCTTCATCTCAGTATGCTTTTGGATTTAGAATAGAGGACATCTGAGGTTTGTGACCTTGTTTTCGCAACAAAAGCGAAGTTCGAAGATACAGTTTCATTCGTGGGGAATTTCTTGTGGGGATTTGCTCATTTCGCGATGTGGCGCGCAAGTGTAGTCCGTCGAACGTCGGCGCTGGTGCTGCATCCGCCGCGCGCGCTCAGCATGTCGACCAAGGCTCCTCGCATTCTCTGCACGGACCCCATCCATCCTTCCGGGGTCGACTTCCTTCGCAACCGCGGCTACGTCGTCGACACAACGTCGCTGTCGCCGGCGGAGCTGGTGGATGCCATCCCCGCGTACGACGGCCTCATCGTGCGTTCTGGCACTCAAGTGAACCGAGAAGTACTGGACGCTGCCGAGAAACTCCGCGTCATCGGACGCGCCGGCACGGGTGTCGACAACATCGACGTGGTGGCGGCGACGAAGAAGGGCATCCTCGTCATGAACACCCCGTTCGGCAACAACGTGTCGGCGGCCGAGTTCACGATGGGTCTGCTCACGTCGTTCAACCATTCTGTCATCTCGGGGGTGCACGGGAAGACTGTGGGCATCGTCGGACTGGGTCGTGTGGGGTCGGAAGTGTCGAAGCGGTGCCAGGCGTTCGGCATGAACGTGCTGGGGTACGACCCGCTCGTGTCGGATGCAGCTGCCAAGGCATGCGACATCGAACCTGTGACGTTGGAGGACTTGTGTGCCCGCAGCGACTTCATCACACTACACTGCCCGTTCACGCCCACGACCAAGCACTTGCTCAACGCGGACCGCCTCCAGCGCTGCAAGGACGGCGTGCACATCGTCAACACGTCGCGCCACCAGCTCATGGACAAGGATGCTTTGCTTGAAGCGTTGGAATCTGGTACATATACGAATATGATATGTCGAAGCAGCATGCTCATTGTGTCCATGCAGGCAAGGTGAGCGGCGTCGCTTTGGACATGAAACCGTCGTCGCATCCTCTGTACGCGCACGCCAAGGTCTCTACGACGCCGCACATCGGCGCCAACACGACAGAGGCCCAGGAGCGCATCTCGACCAAGCTCGCGAGCCAGCTGCACCATGCTTTAACAAGGTCCAAGTTCGACAACGTCCTCAACGCGCCGAATCTGGACCTGCTCAGCCAGTCGGCGCGGCCGCCCTACTATGTGCTCGCGGAGAAGCTGGGCAGTCTGCACGCGCAGCTTCTGGGTCCGCAGCAGAGAATCGTCAAGATCACTATCGTAGCCCAGGGCAAGGACGACAAGCGCCAGCTGCTGCAGGCCGCGTGTCGTGGTCTGTTGCGGCACTTGGTCGAGTCGGAAGTAATCTGCGACGACGTTGTATCGGTCCTCCACGCCCGCGGCATCAACCTCGTCGAGCACACCCAGGAGGATGTAGACTCGTCTAGCAGCTACTCGAACCTAGTGCAAGTGACGTGCCATCTGGACGACGGCACTTCCCGGGCACTCACGGGCACCGTGTTGATGAAATCCCAGCTTCGACTGGTGCAGTATGATGCGCTCCGATTGGACGCGCTGCTCAGCGGATGCATGGTGTTCTTCAGCAACGACGACCGCCCGGGGGTGCTCGCGGCTGTGACGCAGGTCCTGGCCTCGCATGCGATAAACATCGGCGCCTTCGGGCTCGGCCGCACTAAGGACAAGGATGCGCTGGGGGTGCTCAATCTGGACGACGTGCCTTCGGAACCAGCATTGGCGGCGCTGGCCAATGTCTCCGAGCTGTCCAATGTCCGCCTTGTGAACTTGCTCGATATGCCGCTCGAACCCCGGTCCTCGTCCTCCCATTCAAAAGTCGACTCGAACCAGCCGAAAACCAAGCCCCGATCGGTCAACTTTGGCTCGGGGCCGTGCAAGAAACACCCAGATTACGCCCTGCATAAACTGCCAAGCCGCGCTCTGGGCCGCAGCCATCGGTCCGCGCTGGGCAAGTCCATCTTGCTGGAAGCCATCGAGAAAACCAAGCAATTGCTGGCGCTGCCGCCGGGGTACGTGTGCGGCATCGTGCCGGCGTCCGACACGGGCGCGTTCGAGATGGCCATGTGGAACTTATTGGGGCCGAAACCCGTCGATGTGGTGCACTGGGACGCGTTCGGCAAGGGCTGGTTGCATGACGCCACGTCACAGCTCAACCTGGCCGACGTCCGCGACATCTCGGCGCCGTACGGATACCTCCCCGCTCTGTCACAGGTGAACAAGGACCACGACGTGTGCTTTACTTGGAACGGCACCACCAGCGGCGTGCGCGTGCCGAACGCCGACTGGATCGCAGACGACCGCACCGGACTGGTCCTGAATGACGCCACGTCAGCCGCGTTCGCCATGGACATGCCGTGGGACAAGATCGACGTGTGCACGTTTAGCTGGCAAAAGGTGCTGGGCGGCGAGGGCGGGCACGGCATGCTCATTCTGTCGCCCCGAGCGCTGGACCGGCTCGCGACGTTTCACCCGGAGAACCGCCCCATGCCCAAGATCTTCCGCCTCAAGGACAAGCACAATGAAATCATGATGGACATCTTCCAAGGCAGCACGATCAACACCCCGTCCATGCTGTGCGTCGAAGACTACGTGAACGCCCTCGACTGGGCGGCGGCGCAAGGCGGCGTTCCTGGCCTCGTCCGGAAATCGGCGGCCAATTTCAAAGTGCTGGACGAGTTCGTGGCGAAAAATAACCACTGGGTCGAGTTTCTAGCCAACGACCCGACCACGAGATCCACCACGTCCGTGTGCTTGGTGCTCAAAGACACGACCAAGAACCAGCTGAAACGCATGACGCAACTTCTGGAGCAACATGATGTGGCCGTGGACATTGGCAGCTACAAGGACGCGCCGGCGGGACTGCGCATCTGGTGCGGCGCCACGGTCGAAACGGCCGACTTGGACGCGCTCGTGCCGTGGCTTGAATGGGCCCACGCCCAAGTGCACGCCGAGTAACTAGTACTAACTATTAATAGTACACACATCGTTTGGCTGGATTAACACGAGGACTACTAACTAGTACTACTTCTACGACTACTACTTGGGCTTTTTGGTAGTATGTCGCGGTATTCGAACAGGTGGGAGGGTCGTTGGAACGATCTGGTTGGATTTGAACCGCAGTTGGGACGTGGAGGGACCGTTCGCGCGGCCTTTGGCGGCTTGGTGTGCCCGTCGCACTACAAGAATCAATCACAATATGTTAAAAGTCAGACTTCTTTTGTTACCGGGCCGTGGGATCTCGTCCATTTGCGTGAGGAAGAAGCCGCCGCCCTGTTTATTTATGTGTTTCGTCTGGGGGGGTTGTGGTCGCGGTAGGGGGGGGGTCTTGGCTAATGCTGGAACACGAGGAGCTTTGTCCGGAGCTTGGTAGCAGCGGCCTGGCTTTGCTTTGGACGGCTTCTGTTTCGGACGAAGGATAGGCGGAAGCAGTGCATTTGGTCGGACCAGCTTGAGCTTGGGGCGTACGAAAGTGGGTTTGCTTAGCCGATCCACAGCGTGCAACTGCTGCTTTTTTGCCACGACGACAACCTTTCGCTCAGTGGGATGGCCTCGGAACGGGTGATTCGACAGCTCCACTTGCTGCCTCTTCTTTCGAACTTCTGGTGGGAGGGCGTTGAGTGTAGATGTGAACCCGTGAATGGGATTGGCAAGGCGGTCGACGGTGTGCTTGGAGGCTTTCTTTGGGAGCGTGGATCGGGTGCCGTATCGGTTTTCGATAAACGAGAAGCGAGCGCGGACGGCTACAGGGGCGAGGAGGGGGGTCTTGGCTGGGCGAGGCGAAGTGAGCAGTGCGAGGAGGTCGAACTGGTGCAGCAGTTGGTTTACAGGAGCTGGGGGCTGCTGCTGGGCAAACACTGTGTCGTCTTCGTCGACCTCGGGAACATCCTCCTGCATCAGCCTGGAGGCAGGGCAGACGTCGATAGCATAGTTCATGAATCTATTTATAAAGTTAATCCGACGTTATCACATTTCGACTCAACGCAGAAAAATTGAACGTCCTAGCCGCACTATTGTCTGCCAGAACACCGTCAATGGTGCGACGGTAAACGAAAAAGAATGTCCGACTTCATGACTTAGCAAAATTAGACAGGAAGTTTTTAAAAATATGCTAATCAACTACTACTCTGGTCCACTAAAAGAGTCCGATTTGACTTCTCATTGGTGGCATTTTTCTAATTTTACGGTTTAATGCTATATCATTGGCTAGTTTAAAAGCGCAAGATCTCGGCTTTGATTGGCTGTATTCTGCGTGTTCCAAGTCGATTTTGCTCGCAAGTTATGGCTGTGGAAACATGTTGTCTCATCGTGCAAGAACCATAACGACCCGCTGAGGAGTCAAATTTGTATTTCAACTCTTGTGATCAATACATACTACCAAGCTAACGTCATTGCCGTGCGTACCATGCCATCCCCGAGCTCATCATCCCCCACCAGCACGCAGCGGCCCCCAATGAAACTCAGCAATGCCTCGCGATCGGCAATCTACGAAACGTTGCTTGCAAGCAGCGTCAACGGACAGCTGTCGCATGGGGCGCTTGAACACACAGCTCGAATCTTTCAGTGTCATGCAAAGACGATATCACGTGTGTGGGCCCGTGGGCGGCTCTCTCTCCGCGACGGCAGGACGGCGGCGGACGTGTCGTCAAAATTCAAAGGTAAAACCTCTGAACATCAATATTCGACGAACAAATATCATATTCCACGATTATTTATTTATAGAGTTTTACTTAACTAGGAAATTCAGGACAGAAACGTCGACGATCCGACGACGTAATCGAACAAGCAGTCAAGGCCGTGCCCCACTTCGCTCGGCAGACCATGCGTTCTCTGGCTGCACAGAGTGGTGTCCCCAAGACCACGATTATTCGGCACATGAAGAACGACAAAACTCTCAAGGCCAAGTCCAACTACTCGAAGGCCTACCTCACGGACGCCAACGCCGTCCATCGCATGCAATACGCCATGGCCTTTCTCAGTCCGTCGCCAAATCGATTCATTTTTGACAGCATGTACCAAACGGTACATAATGACGAAAAATGGTTCTTTTTGACGACTGCCAAGAAGCGTGTTTACGTCTACGCGGATGAGGAGGTTGCCTTGCGTGCGCTGAAGTCTAAGCGCTTCATAACAAAGGTTATGTTTTTAGCCGCAGTCGCCCGACCGCGGTTTGACCACAACAAGGGCAGCATGTTCAGCGGGAAGATCGGCGTTTGGCCCTTCGTGGAACAAGTCGTTGCCCAGCGAAATAGTCGCAATCGCCCCAAGGGAACTGTGCTGTTGGCGCCACAAGCCGTGACGGCTGAAGTGTATCGCACAATGATTTTGGACAAGGTTGTCCCTGCGATTCAAACCAAAATGCCCCAAAGAGTTCAGGGTAGTTTAATATATTTGCAGCAAGATAATGCGAGTCCACATAAGTGTGTGACGACGCAACTGCTGTTGAAGCATGGTATGAGTGGCATCGAAGTTGCAAACCAGCCTCCAAATAGTCCAGACTTTAATGTCTTGGATTTAGGGTACTTCAATTCGATTCAAAGTCTGCAACATCAAAAGTGTACTCGGACAATCGAGGAGCTTATTAGTGCTGTTGGAAGCTCATTTGATGAGCTGCCTCACGACATTTTGTCGAAAACCTTTATTACCTTGCAATAGGTAATGCAGTTGTCCCTCGAGAACATGGGCAGGAACGATTACAAGCTTCCTCATATGAGGAAAGATGCTACCATCAAGGACTTATCATTGTTCGATGTCCATTGTGATCCACGTATCCACGAGCAAGCTGTCTCTCACTTGAAATCCCTTAATATAATAAAATGTAATTATATTTCTGTGCGGCAGTATACAATCTGAAGGTTCAATACAAACGCTGAGATGTTTTGAGCCGCCCTCAATACTTTATTCAAGATAAAACAATAGGACTCTTTTGGTGGACCAGAGTAGTATACCATTAGAACCAGGAGAGTGAGCGTTATAAAATAGTACTTCGAAGTATTGAGAAACCATGCAATTTTAGTCAAAAGCTTGGCTGAAAACTCAAATCTGCGCTTCATAACCAGAGCAAGTATAGTGTCGCATGCACGTTGACTGGACTTCAAGAAAATCCGGATAATATCCGCAAAACCCGGATAACGGATAACAAATCCAACTCGGCGGTACTCAAACCACGTCATGAATTTGGTACTCAAACCACGTCATGAAGGCTGGAACCAAGAAGAACTTTACCGATACCCAGCGACAGCACCTTCTCCAACACCTCCTCAAGGTCAGTTTGCCAAATGGCAAGCTTCCATCCGGCACAGTGAAGCGCATAGCTTCTCTCTTTAACTGTGATTCAAGAACAGTTAATCACATTTGGTCTCGTGCTTCGCTTATTGCTCCGGAGTGCAAGAGATCTGTGCCAATGTCTCTTCGCGGAAGAAGAAGAATTCTGGCCGGAAGCTCAAATATAAGAGCCTCGCTGAACAGCTGCGAAAAGTACCAAAAGCAAGACGTACTACGCTCAAGTCCATCTCGAAAGCAATGGGACTACCTGCGTCCACGTTGCATGACTACTACAAACGGGGTGTCTTCGCAAAGTACTCTAGCCACATGAAGCCCTTGCTGACCCCCACGAACCAAGCCGCGCGTTTGAAGTGGGATCTTGACTTCGTCCACAAGGACAATGGGAGCTTGTCTTGGACGACGTCATGGACTATGTTCATGTACATGAGAAGTGGATACCTTGCCCCAGGCGAGAAGCCACCACACTTGTCCTGCAAGTCGAAACATTTCATCCAGAAGGTGATGTTCTTGTCTGCGGTGGCCCGCCCGCGCTGGATCCTACAAGACAGTGCTGGTTCGATGGCAAGATCGGTACCTGGCACTTTACCACCCCGAAACCCCAAGACTGAGACCGCTAAGAACACGAGTCGAAACCGCCCAGCAGGCCCTCCTGTGATGAACCCTGTCACCGTGACACGGGACGTTTACCGGCGCATGCTCGTCGACAACGTCATCCCTGCTATTCGTGCCAAGTGGCCCTCTGCACCAACAACCGTGAAGATCCAGCAGGATAATGCGAAGCCACACGTACTGGTTACCGGCCCCGTGGTTGAAGCTGCGTGCCGTCAAGACGGCTGGTCAATGTCTGTCGTCTGTCAGCCGCCCAACTCCCCTGACGTCAATGTCTTGGACCTTGGATTCTTCCGGGAAATCCAGTCCCTGCAAGCAGAGCATCATTCAAAGACGGTTGAAGACATCGTCGTGGCCACCTTGAAGGCGTGGGACTTGGTTGAGCCGAGCACGTTGGGCCGCAACTTCTCTACGCTGCAGTCCTGCTGTCAGGAGATCATTCGTGTCGGTGGCAATAACAACTACAAGATACCGCACATGCACAAGTCTAAGCTGATGGTTCAAGGGAAGCTGATGGTTCAAGGGAAGTTGCCCAACATGCTGTTGTGTGACCGTGACGTTTGGTCCGATGAATGTGCCAAGCTGGGCAGCGTTGACTTCAACAGTCTGATGCGTACTCACAGGCTGAGGTTAATGCGAGCCTGGAAATGATGGAGTTGTGCAACGTCATGGAAGCGCTCGATGTCAAGGACAACGATGAAGATGGCCTCACTTTGAATATGATGGAGCTCCTGCAGAGTAAAGTTTCGGTTTGTATAACTTGCTTTTTGTGTGGATTTGGTACCAGTAACAAATCGGACATTCTATTTCGGATTTGAATAAACTTCTAGTCGGACATTGTTTTTCGGATGGAGGTAGTAGTATTTTTACTAATGACCCCTGAAATATACTTCGAAGTATATACTTCTCCACGTCGGCGACAGTATATTTAGCACTAAAATTAAACTTCGGTTTCCCGGATAGCATGTGTTGTATCCGGTATATTTTCGGATAAATGTACGTTATCCGGGAAATTTGGTGTTTATGTTTACGGTCGACGGTAAAACGAGAAAATTTAGTGTCGCTCCAAACCAAATATCACCTCATTTCCGGGATAATAGAGAAATTGTCCGTAACTTCGAATAGTTGTACTAGTAGTAGAAAATTACGGCTATCTATACAGTCGCGCCGTGGAGATGCTCTAAGCAATCATATCGATAGTTCTAATGTGGTGGTTTTGAATGAAATTTCGGAGTCGGGATTTCTTCTTAACTAGCTGAGAAATTCAGCCCGTAACGTTCACTAATGTTCACCTAAGACAACACGTGTATTCGGTGTACTCCTGAGTCATACATGGAGAATGTGAAAAAAATAGAGGTTTCAGTTCTGCTCTGAACAAAGATTCGCATGCAGTGAAAATGACCACTTTTAACGACAAGCATCGTTCAGAGTCTGAGACCACATATTTTGTCTCGCATGGTTCTTGACGAAGTGGTTTCTGTCACCGCGAAACACCTTTCCCTGTATCATGGAATGCCAAATGGTATCTTTGCTTGCCTTGACTCAGGGGACATCGTGACGTCAAATGTGCG